GTAACATTTCTTATTTGCACGCCCTTAGCAGCTATCCCCTCGCCTGTCAAGGTCTTATGCTGTTCAAAACCGCCTGGCATTGTACATATTTACTCTGAGACGTTTACTTGAAAACATATAAAAATTTTAAGTATACAGGATAAATAATACTTTCTTAGATTTACGCGAATGTTTGACATTATTAAATAAAACTATCTTTTCGGATTAGCCATTATATTCGTTTCGATAGACCTCAAATCCTGGCGAAAGAAAACCGATATCGCCCTAGAATGATTCGAGAAGCCATAGAAATTAAAAAACATCCAAATTTCAATAGGGAAGATGGCTGGGTACTACCATCGTCATGGGATCCTGTTATTAATATAATAAAATCAAATAATAAAAATAAACATAACAGACAGGCAGATGTAGTAAGTTCATACTGTGTAGATCAAAATGACAGCTTATCAGAATAATAATTTTCATTTGTAAAAGTATATATTAATAGTGTTGCTTAGTAAGTTGTTTTTAAATAATAGCAAACTAAATTAAAATGATTATCCATAATTAATTTTAACTTTTTAAATTACACATAGAACAATTATATGGCTTTAATAATTAATACTATATTTTTATATTTTTATTTATGGTTATAAATATAATAATGGCAACACTAAATATAGATTACTAATTAATATTTTTAAAATTGTAATAATTATAAAAATAATAGCAAAAATTAAATAAATAATTTTCCATATTCAATTATAATTAAAATTATAAAAATGTTTAAAGTTAAAAATATTGTAATGTAATTGGTGCAATTTTCATTTTTGTTAATTGTGGGTAGGCTGTCTGTAACAACTATATCTTTAAGACATGTAACACCTCAGTCTCTCCCGTGACCATGGATGCTGTAAAGCATTCGAAACGTCGGGAACCAAAAATCAAAATAAATCCGCGAAATAATCCGAAAAGATAGTTTTATTTAATAATATACAGGATAAAGTTTATTTTACCTCATCAACTGTGGGTTTTCTAATTGATCTGTCATATACTTCTGCTTATTGTAATCGCCTGTCAATTTTTTTTTAAGATGTACAATAAATAAACTTTATCCTATTAAATTTTCAAATTTACAGAAACAAGTTTTAAAACTCAATTTACTAAACAGTTCAAAAAATAAAGGGGCTGATGACGTGCAGGGCTGACGCCTGCCAGGTCATGGCTATTGCTCTTAGCATGTCATAAATCGTAAATAGACAAATTTCTAACCTTACAGGGAGACCGTTACTCCCAGGGTTCACTAGCTTTCCAGCTAATAGTCATCAGCTACTGAAGAGCTTGAAGCAGGCTCCTCTTCTTCAAAGTCATCCTTTTCAGTCATATCTGAGCTAAACACAAGACTATGAAAATTAGTCAGCAAATTATTTTTGTCTATTTGACAGTTAAGCCCACGGCTATGTGGCGAGGTCAGACCTGTAACAACAGCTGTCTTTAAAGCTGCCATAAAATGTGCGCATGTTGGGTTCTCGCTCGACAACTATGTCGTCCGAGGAGTTCAAATGGCGGCTCGGTCGCGTACTCAGCGTCGCGCGGTCCGCTTAAATATAAGACCAAAGGCGTGCACTAGCGTGCGCGCGCACGACGCGTAGCGCGTAGTGCGTCGCGTCAGCGAGTGCCGTCGTCGTGTCTCTACACACGATACGATCGAACGTCCAGAGAGACGTGTGCGGTGGGGGAGTGGCGGCGTGCCGACCTCCTGTACCCTTCGCTCAGGGGAGTTGCTGGACTCCTACTGGGCGCGTCCCCCGGGTGGCGAATAGGGGAATGCCACCACATTGGTGGTACCGGTTCAACCGGCGCGAACCAAAACCAGCAGGCATGGGCGTGCCTTTAGGGGTTTGTTAACCCGACCGCCTACGTGAGCACACCCTGACAGAAAAGCGCGAGGTGGGGCGGGTCCGGCGGGTGCTTAATTGCGCAGCCGGACAAGCACTCATGTGTACCCCCCCCCCCCCCCTCAACTCGTAATCCTGGTTCCTGGTGTCGTTGATCATGTCTAGCGGCCGGGACTGGGACCGAGGGCCTTGGCTTAACCGCCCGGGCTGTGAGGAAGAAAACCTCTCTAAAAAATTACCCTAATCCCAAGCGGCGTAGCGGCGCGAGGGGATGCTTGGCCGATAGGTTGTTCGGTTCCTACCGCTTCCCCCACTTGAGTACCGGCCGACACTCGAGTGGGTTACACAGAAGGCTTATCCGGGTGCAGGGGGCACCACACGGATGGACGGGCTATTTCCCCCATGCTCGTGGGATTCAAATATGCAATCTTTAAACAAACCAAAAACCCAAACTTTTGATGTGGAGCCCGTGATGGGCGGTGAATTGACGGTGCCTGCGACTGGCGGAGTTGTTGTTGAGCCTGTGATGGGCGTGGTTTATGACTCGGATGGGTCTATGTACTCGTCCGTTTCCTCGATTTTGGGCCGCAAGAGGCCTCGTGCTGAGCCGCTGCTTTTGGCGTCGTCCTCTTGGTCTAAGACCGAGACGGAGTCGACGATCAACGCCAGGGCGACGGAAGCACGCAGGGGGAAGACCTTCAAGGGTCCGGGTGGTTCTGGTCTGGTGCGTGCGCGTGCAGACCTGAAGAAGCTCAAAGATGAGGCCAAAGAGAAGGCCTTTGAAGAGTCGTTGAAGAAGAGAGCCTTCCGCAAGGAGAGTACCTCTCAGCCTGCGGAGAAGGGGTTGTCGGCCTCTGTTGCCCCGCTCCCATAGATGTGGCCGGGATGCCGGCTGAAGAGTTGTAGGCGGTCGCTGGTACAAACGTAGCGGCAATACTGGAGGTGGCCCTTAAGTCGGGCAATCTGAAGGGCGTCTATGTGAAGAGGCTCAAGGAGTCGGCGACTTTCCTGCAGCAGGTTGTGGAGACACTTGCTGGGCGCACGGCGGCCGAGGAGATGGCGCACCTGAGCACCGACAATGCAAGGCTCAGGAGGGAGGTCGAAAACCTCAAGTCGGAGCTCAAGGCCTACCGCCGAGAGTTCTCCGACATGCGGGCGGAAATGTCTGCGGCGAAGTCGGGCCCATCAGATGCAGTTGGCGGGGATTGGCTGGAGGAACTAAGGGCCTCCATAGTCGCCTCTGTGGGCACCCTAATCGATGGCCGATTTGCTGGCATCGAGGAACGCCTTCTCCCAGAGAAGAGGATGCGGCCCCCATTGGCTGCAGACAGACGGCGCAAGGCTGCTGTGAGGGCCACTGTCCCGGTCTTGGCTCCCTCTAGCGGGGTGCCTGCGCCGAGTGTTACAGCGGCGAAAGAAGGTTCGGCGGTGGGCAAGCGTAAGTCGTCTATTGTGGTCCTTCGAGCAAACGTTAGGCGGGACCACGTCGCGAGTGCAATAACCTGTATTAGTGTCGGCGGTTCCGGTTAGCGGCACGTGGAAAAACATCGTCCACAACCCCTTCCCTGTACCATCAAGTTGTGCTGGGAAATCATCATATTGTATATCAAGTAGCAGCTATCAAGTAAGATCTTTCCTATTTGTTTTATATATCAGTCAACTTAGTAATGTCATCATCATGTCTACCATGGAAGAAATACTTATGACTCAAGAGTAAATTGTGAATGCCATAGATCAGCTATTTACGAATTTTAAAAAAGATAGTTCCGTAAGAAAAAATTCAGACTACATAAAACGTAGATTGGATACTCTAGACTCTTACTGGAATGAGTTCCACAGTAATCATATCAGCTTAAAATCATTCGGAGATGCGTCTCACTATTATTTTAGAAGTAATCAATACGAGGAAGTAAAGCAAAAATATACTAAAATTCGGGACTTTATACAAAACTATCCATCAGTAGCACCGGAGAGGCCAAAGTCACCGGTAATTAAGCCACCAACCCTCAACCCCATAATAGCACCCACTCCCAGTACCTCTGGGGCTCTAAGCGATAAATCAACTAACAGCAAAACGGAAGATATGTTGAAAAGGCAAATGACCAACTTTAAAGCTTTCTCTAGAACTACATCAAGCATAAATTTAGATTTAATTACCGAAAAATGGGAATTCGAAGACGTTTTACAAACTATCCAGTCTCGTTGGTCAGCAATTAGGAGTTAGACTGCGAGCTAGATAGTTCGAATCAAGAGTACGAAAAAGAGTTTACTAAGTTTGAGGAATATTACAATAACATCAAAAAAGCCATAAACAAGAAAATGTGGTCTGTAGCTCACAGGGAAAAATCCACTCCTGTGATGGAATTATCAACGTTCAACGGGAATTATAATCAGTGTGTATCATTTAAAGACTTGTTTACTGAAATAGTTCACGAAAATCCGTCGGTTTCGAATGCACAAAAGATGCAATTTTTAAAGGGAAAGGTAAAGGGTGAAGCAGAGAGGCTGATTCAACATTTACCTATCAGCTCAGACAATTATTTAATTTGCTGGGAAATTTTAAATCATAGGTATGATAACAAAAAAATGATTTTCACGTCGCATATTAATACTCTTTTAAATATACCTATTGCGCAACACCAATCAATAAACCATATCAAGCGAGTTCACGACACCGCCAAGGAGTGTCTCAACGCGATCAAGAACCTGGGAGTAGATATCAGCACCTGGGACCCGTTACTCGTTCATCTGTTGTTGCAAAAGTTGGATACGGAGACATATAATGATTATATGGAGTCCTTGAGCAACCCTAGAGAATTTCCAATCCTTGAAGTATTTTATAATTTCTTGGAAACGAAATTTACCACCTTAGAGTCTTCACGCAGAAGAGGCGACACAACTAATTATCAAAAACCTAAATTGCCAAGCACCAATCAACAGCAAAAAATTAATACGTATTTGTTAAAAAATCATAACAATCATTATAAAAATCAATCAAACTCAAATTCAAATAATTATGCAACAAACACAAAATTATTTACTTTACAAACATCAAAGAAAATTACATGTCCTTTTTGTAGTGAAGAAAATCACGGGATTTACCACGGCAAAAAATTCATAGATATGCCTCATAATACAAAACGCAAAGTAGTTAGCAACTTAAAATTATGCCCCAATTGCCTTTACAATCATCACGGTAAGCCCTGCATTTCAAACAAAATATGTCGTATTTGCCATAATGATCATAACTCGCTGTTACACGAGGCATTTACGTCACATGGCCCGCACGTGTCGGTGCGATCGTCAGCAAGTTCAACGCCCGGCACGTCCGCCGCCGTCATACCTATTGTTGCATGTTGAAATTGAGGCAAGCAATGTTACAGTTTTTTCGCCCAATTTTGCCTAGTTATTAAAACTATCATATTTAGAAAACGACACAGGATAAACTTTGCTCTAAGTACATCATCAATGCCCATCATTATGAACTTTATCCCTAACAAGACAAATGTGAGCTCGACTTGGCGGGGGCACTGCCGTGCCCCCCGAACACTTGTTTTAAGTTTCTGAGTTTCCAAGACCACAAACAATTGATGAGTTGAGACGTTTTTTGGGGATGATAAATTTTTATAGACGCCTTCTCCCAGGTGCTGCAAGTGATCAAGCTAAGTTAAACATTTATTTGAAAAATAGTAAAAAGAAAGACAAAAGCCTGATATCTTGGACTGAACAGACGAGAGAAGCCTTCGAACAGTGTAAGCAAAGTCTAAAAAATGCAGTTACACTATCATTTCCTATCGCTGATGCTCCTATTTCTATAATGACAGACTGTTCTAACACCTGTGTTGGAGCAGTACTGCAACAAAAGGAAGGAACCTCATGGAAACCTCTAGGTTTTTTTTCTAATAAGCTAAGTGAGGCTCAACAGCGCTACAGTACATTTGACCGGGAATTATTAGCTATATATATGGCAATAAAGTATTTCCGTTACTTAATCGAAGGGCGACCTGTAACTGTTTACACCGACCATAAACCTTTGGTGCAGGCATTTAAGAAAAATTCTTTTGGCAACAACGATACCCCTCGGAGGTTAAGACATTTAGACTACGTAATGCAATTCTGTACAAAAATCGAGCATATTAACGGTTCAGAGAACACAGTGGCCGATACTTTATCTCGAATCGCTACCATCGATTTTTCATCCACAATAAACTACGAAGATCTAGCTAAGTCACAGAGTAATGACACAGAGCTATTGGATCTATTAAAGTCTAAAACACTACACATTAAAAAAGTTAAAATCCCTAACTGTAATTCATATATTTATTGTGAAACATCGAACGGAAAAATTCGCCCATATTTGCCGTTGGAATTCCGCGCATCGGCTTACAACGCCATACATGGAGTTAGTCATCCCGGCATTCGAGCTACAAGAAATATGATGCGAGATAGATACTTTTGGAAGTCAATAAACAAAGATATTGCATCATGGACTAGAGCATGTTTGGAATGCCAAAGGTCAAAAGTCCAAAGGCACAACATTTCGCCGTTCAAGTCCTTTGAAAAAAGTGATCGTTTTGAACATATTCATATAGATATTGTGGGTCCTCATAAATACTGCAACGGATACCGGTATTTATTAACAATGTTGGACAGAAGCACGGGTTGGCCCGAAGCTTATCCTTTAAAGGACATAACAGCAGAAATCTCAAGTGAAGAAACATTTTTACAGGCGCTGAGACAGAAAATAAGAGATTTATCAGCAATCCCAAGGCGCAAAATTCGTCAAAAAGAAATTTTTGTTCACCCAGACCTTGGAAAATGCTCACATGTTTTTATTCGCAGCGACCGATTATCCAGCTCATTAACCCCACCATATTCTGGTCCATATAAAATTTTGAGTCGAATAGACAAATATTTTAAAATTCAAGATGGAGATACGCAGAATGTTATTAGTATAGATAGACTCAAGCCCGCATTCATGTTACAATCTGATGACAATGCAATCTCGCCCAATATGGAAAGGCGTAATATTAACAAAGCGCCTATAGTGACAAGATCAGGGCGCATCAGTAAGCCTACTGTAAGATTCGCTCCATAGACGAATTGGTTACATTACAGCAACTTTATATTTTAATACGTATATTATTATTTTTTAAATAATAATATAATGTATTATCAGAATTGGTAAAGCAGAAAGCAAACAAGAAAAAGAATAAATTATTATTGCACAGAATGGCGCAGGAAACAGCGCAGTGGCCTCAGAAACGGCCACGCACTATAGCACAAGGGTAGAGTTGTATTCTCTCGCAACTCTGACCGTCTTACTCTTAGTTATTGGCTACATTTTATGGAAACGCTGCAAAAATCAATTTGCAAACTTTATGAGAAGAACACTACTGGATAATACTGCTGTTGTCATGAAACAATCAGACCAACGGCAGAACCAAGGATGTCAGCAAGTGATAGTGTAGTGTAAGTGCAATATTAAATAATAATAAAAAATAGTGATTTTAACACGTGCTATATGTAAGCGTATCATGTCATGTATTTTTATTTGCATACAATAGTTACGTGTACCCAATCGTAATCGTAATCGTGTAAGATATTGTAATCATATTGTAGAAGTATATACGTATGTACTATAATATTTTTTTTTGTATGTGTAATCAATGGAGGTTAAGGTATATTATTTTTTTACATTATTTTTATATATTAAATATACACTATTTGCTAAATTATGTTTAACGAATGTAATAACTTTGAATAATTTGTGAAAAATCCTGTTTGTACGACACTTTTTCATTGTCATTTTTTTTCTCTTAAATGTAAATTTAATAATAACTATAGATATCATTTTTTTTGAAGGGGGGTATACTGTGCCGTGTGCACAATACCTATTTTAATGTGTATCCATATTTGGCAACAGATAGATCTATGTTTTATTTTATTTTATTTATTTAGGTACAGAAACAGAAAACAAATTAAAAAAATTACATCTTCGTATTAAAAACTAAAAATATCATATTAAATTTGTTCTCCAATTATGTCTGTACTAGTGATGTGCCGGATCGTTAAAAATGTAGATCCGCGGATACGGATCTGAATACGGATATTTGGTGTCAAGATCCGCAGATACGGATACGGATCTTAACTTTTTTACACAATCGGTGTCGTTGCGCGCGATCTTGAGTTGACAACTTGAGGTTGAGACACGTTTCGACTTGTATTGCGCGGCGGCTTGCATCTTTCTTTTGTTTTGTTTTAGTTTAATGTGACACTGGGCAGCATAGATAACGCTTGTGTTTGGTATTGGTGGTACATGATTTTAAAAAAACGTCTACAAAGAAGTTTAGTAGTGTAATTTGGAATTATTTTGTGATAATAAATGATGAATGTGCAAAGTGTAAAATTTGTGATGGAAAGTATTCTCGTAAGGGTAAAGGCACAACTTCCTTAAAAAATCATTTACAAAGAAAACATCCTCAAGAATATAAATTATTCTTTAAAGAAGACTCTGCTAAGAAGAGTATCGACGAAATATCACGGCCGGGAACATCTTCACAAACGGTAAAAAGAGAATTTAAACAAACTTTTTTTAAAGAATACATGGAAAAAGCTAAAATGTGGGATAATACAAACCACAAATCTATAAAAATAGACTATTTGATTGCTGAAATGTTAGCTTTATCAGATCTACCTTTTCAACACGTAGAAGAATTAGGGTTCCGCCGATTGATGGACCATATTGTTCCAAATTATGTTTTAAAAGGTAGAAAGTATTTTACGGACCTTGTTTGTAGTGAGCTGTACGATAAAGTGTCATTAAAAATAAAAGACATGTTACAAGATTTTGAAAAAGTTTCCTTCACGTCAGATATCTGGTCTGACTCTTCATCAGGAGTTTCATTGTTATCCTTAACATGTCATGGTATTACTAAAGATTTTCAACGAAAACATATCGTTTTGAAAGCGGAAGTTCTTGAAGAACGTCACACGGGAGATTATATTTCGGAAATATTTCAAAGTATGTTAGAAGAATGGGGAATTTTGAAACAAAATGTGCACTGTATGGTAAGAGATGGGGGATCCAATATGAAGCGCGCCTGTTATTTATCTGAAGTACATAGTATCGACTGTACAGCACATCAGTTACATTTGGTGGTTAAAAATGCAATACAAAAAGTTAATGAAATTTCCATATTACTTACAAAATGTAGGAAAATTGCTGGACATTTCAATCATTCCACGATGGCAAAGCAAGAATTAGAAAAAATACAAGTTCGACTCAATCAAAAAGTTCTAAAAGTTTTGCAAGACTCACCAACACGCTGGAATTCCAGCTATTATATGTTGGAAAGACTTGATTGCATCAAGGAGTCGTTGTCGCTTTATTCTTCTAATAATAAAATAGAACAATTTGATGCCGATGACTGGATTTTAATTCAAGAATTAATAAAAGTGCTGAAGCCTTTGGAAGACACTACAAAAAAATTAAGCTCACAAAACACGTGTATATCTGACGTTATTCCTCTAGTACGAGCATTGAATAAAATCTATGACGAGAAAAATATGCATATTAGTGACATTAGTGTATCCGCAGTTGTGACCTTTGTGTCTGCTTTGAAGAATGAATTAGAGTATCGTTTTTCTGAAATTGATAAAAATGTTTTGTATCAAGTAGCCACATTTTTAGACCCACACTACAAAGGGAAATTCTTCAGTGAGATTCTCATAAAAGAAATAAAAGAAAAATTGCTTAGAGTTTTAGAAACTGAAGTAAATCTTACAGCAACTACAATCAGTACTGAAAACAAACCAATTACTGTTAGAAAAGAACATTGCACGAGCCTAGAAGAGTCTATTGCTAATATGTTAGATAGTGATGATGACGATGAGCAATCTGAAAATCAAATATCAGATACGAAAGCTAATTTGCTCATCGAATATATGTCAGAAAAAAGATTACCAAGAGATCAAGACCAACTAAAGTATTGGCAAATTAACAGTAAAAAGTTTGGAAGTCTTAGTCACATTGCTCGTACATATTTATCATCACCTGCAACAAGTATTCCAAGTGAGCAAGTTTTCAGTGCAGCAGGAATTGTTTATGATCCTCATCGTAACAGGCTTTTGGGGGACAAAGCTGCCAAGTTACTCTTTTTGAAATATAATATACCATTACTTAATTTTAATTATGACTTATAATTTTCTTAAGTTCCTTTAATTGTCATTGTGATTTTAATTTAACATTAACACTGTACCTATGTGTCACGTAGTACTAGTTTACTTGATTAAAAAATAATTTAATTTGAATTTAAAATATTACGAAGAGCTAAGTTTTGTTTTCTTAATAAAAA